CAACAGCATTTTGGGATGTAGACTGCTTCTTTTTTAAAAAATTATCTGTATTATTGAAATTGGTCCATTTCATTTAGTTTTCAATCTCTCCTTGAATTCTACATTTTTTCCCTCTTCCGTTCCTAAGACAACCTCCTACAGCAAGAAGTTCTTTAACTGATTTTATTTTGTTGCAAAAAAAATAACCTTGTGACAGTCTGTATATTAATATTAGCGACCTCACAGAGCCTCCCCCACGAGGTTCTAAATCTCTGTTTCTACTTGGTGAACTAACTGTTCTGTGAAGGGAAGGAAACTGTTCATGCTTGATGTCAGTTGTTGTTTTTTACCTTGGCTGTGTCTTGATGTTAAACCTAATCTCACTTGCTTTGTTGTACTTCCCTTTGAGGAGCGTTTACATGATTTTAGCTCATTTTCATTTATGATGTTGGGCGTTGGAGCAGAGAAACCCTGATGTGAATTATGATTTGGTCCCTCAGTGGCAGAGTGACTCTGAGCAGTATGACATCTTTAAACCTCAATTTCCTCATTTATAAAATGGGATGGTAGTACCTACTTCAGAAGATTATTATGAAAATTACATGAGCTCATATTTACTAAGCACTCTAAGTAATGCCTGGCACACAGAAATACATGCCACCTAGTAGGTAGAAAACTTTGGAGTTGGGGGGCAGTGGAGAAGGTGTTATCGGGAGCTTTCTTGTTGAGGAAACTTGTTTTTCTCCTTTTTACTCCCTATCACAAGACAGTGAAAGCTGATCGGCCTAGCTTTATTGTTCCTGTTAAAGTAATATGCTTCCGACAAGCTAATAATGGTCTAACTTGTTAATTACCAGTATGCATGCCATTTAAAAAATGTGGTTGCAGGCACATTTTGATGCCCTAGTTATGACATCTTTTGAATGTAACCTAAGAGATTTGGAGATATTTTTCAGGGTGGAAGTCACCATGGTAGATCATATAGTTATTTTATATCCACTGCTCTTCTCTCCTGTCAGTTTAAGATCTCTGCAACTCACATCAGGCTTTGGGAGTCAGTGCTATTCGAGTTTATCTTCTGCCTTCAGCTGGTTGTAGCTGTCAGGTGAGGAAGGTAGCTCTTGGACTTTAGGAAATTAACAACGCCTCAGCACACCTGTGCTCCCCTTGACCTTCTTTGAATTGCATTGTTTCCATTTTTATTTTGTGCTGCATAGTATTATAGTTAGTACATAATTTATTCTTATCAACCAAAAAAGTAAATTTGGTTGTGTTCTATTTAGTCTTTGACAAGATTTGATAGTTTTTGCAACTCTCATGGTTTCTAACTAAACTAAGTGTTGGTTCTCAGATGTTGTCAAACTTACTATACCCAGGAGTTTAACTCCTTGCTATGTTCTCTGCAGAAATGCCTACATGCACAGATGTATATCAGGTACAGATTCAGGAGTGTTTGGCAGCAGCATTATTCACAGTAATTCAAAACTGGAAAAAGAAACCAAAACCTTCAGTAACAAACAGATAAATACTGAGATATATTGGATGAAAAAAGCTTGACACAAAAGAATACATATTTTAGTATCATTTACATAAAGTTCAAAACCAATCAGATTATATTATTTAGTCATACGTTTTTGGGTAGGGTGACTATAAAGAAATGTAAGGAATTAAGTCATAAAAGTCAAGATAGTAGTTACCTTTATGAGGTTTTGATTGGAAAGGGAATGTGCCAGGCCTTGTTGAGGGGGGAGGGAGTGAGTGTTTAGGGTCTGTTTCTTGATTTGGGCTGTAGTCATATGAACATTCGCTTTAAAAAATGTATTAATCTGTATCTTTGTGCTTTATGCCCCTTTCTGTGTGTTATTTTCACAATAAATAAATATGGTCTTAAGCTAGCGAAAAGTGAATACCTATCTCTCTAGAGTATCCCTCAAAAAGAGGGACTCTTTAAAAAGAAAACGCCCTGCTTTATCTTGCCATTGTGCTAAGGCAAATAGCCCTTCTGAGACGTGCAGTTGCCATTCCGTGCAAGTTTTCTTTGGAAATCGGAGTGGTCTCTGACTTTCAGAACTCCTCAGGAACTGAGCTGTCTCCTCCAAGTCTGAGACCCAGTGGTTAGAAATTTTATAGAAACGATATGCTTTTCCTTAATTCTTTAATCATAGGCCACTAACAATTCACCAGATTTGGTAGCAGAACCTTAAATAATTTTGATAGTGATAATAGGAGCAGGTAATTGTTATTTAGCCTTAAAAGCTAGTACTGTTCAAAACTTCTTATATGTATCTAATCCTTAGTTTTTTAGAATGAGAAAAACATTCAGTAATTTTTCCAGGTTTGATCCCTTTCAAAACAGAAGCTCGGTTCATTCATTCAGCAATTATTTATCAAGCATCTACTAAGTATATACCAGGCATTTAGCTGTTGGGAGTACAGAAATGAACAAATCCATGGAGTTTATATTCTCTTTGAGGAAACAAAAACTATTAAACTAATAATATGTCAGTAGTGATGCGTCAGTGATGGGTCCACTGAAGAAAAACCTAAGATATAAGGCAATAGGGAGCAACACAGGTAGTATGTGAGATTTGAACCGATTTGGTGGGTCTAAATGAGTTTTACATGTACTTGGAGAAAGAGTGTGTGAGACAGAAACAGTGTGAAAACCCAGGGTGGGTCTAAATTTGGAGTTTCAGAATGATAAGATTACCTGTCTGTTTTTAAGAAAATAAAGGACCAGATAGTAAGTATTTCAGGTTTTGCAGGCTCTAAGGTGTTTCTTGCAGCTGCTAACACTGCCTTGTAGTGAAAAGCAGTCATAGGCAACATAAATGAACAGACGTGCTGCCTCCTATAAAACTGTATTTGCCAAACAGGCAGCAGACTGGATTTGGCCTGTGGGGTTGCCATTGGCTGACCCCTTGGCTTGATCATATAGGCCGTAGGTTATGGTAGGGATTTCTGATTTTGTTCTAAGGATGAAAGGTTTTTGAGCAACAGATTACTGCTAATGTGTCTTCATTTTTTAAGCAAGGTGGTACTTAGATCTTCAACATACTAGAGAAAGAGTGGAGTAGTTTTCAGTGTCTGTATTTACAGTACTTTTTTTCCCTCTATTCATGTAATGACATTTGTGGAACCTGTGTTATGTGTCAGAGTTGTGTTGGGAATTAAATTATGAGTAAGATACCTCCCTGCTGTCACTAGACCCAGAATTCCTAGATTTATCACATTTATTTTGGTAATCCATAAGGCATACCTAGTACTGTACCTGGGGCATAGTAAACACTTGAAGGAAGAGTGTATTCCTCAAAGAGTTCCTAGTATGCTGGGAAAGGTAGTATGAAGCTAGAAGACAATGGAATGATGCTTTCCAAATTCTAAAGGAAAGTTATTTCCTGTAGAGTTGTGTGTTCAGTCAAACTGTCAAAACAAATGTGAGGGTAGAACAAGAACATTTTCAGAGGAACAAAGTCAAAGAGTTTTACCTTCTCTCCACCCCTTTTCAGGAAATTATCTGAGGATATGTTACACTAAAACTGGAAGTAAAACAGAAAGAGGAAGATTTGGAATCTGGGGGCAGGGGAGTTTGCACAGGATGCAGCCCAGGGCAGAGCAGGAAGATTAAAGGGCTGGCAGAAGGGAAGGATGGGATATATAATATGGCAGATTACCTGATATGCTTGACAATATTGAGAGTTTTATGGTTCTATAAGAACTTGGGCTGCATTTGAGATAGATACAGAAAAAAATCAGGAAAACAAAACAAGGTTTATAAGCTCCAAAAATACTAACTGTCCTACAAGAGAGAAAGATAATCATAGCATGTCGTATGACTCAAGTATAAGAAAAAGTTATTAATAGAAACACCGATGATAGATGGACAAAATGTAACTCTAATTAGGATGATAATCAGCTATAAGAGAGCTTAATCATTTATGAGAGATCGTCAGTAAATAAAGTATAAAATAGAAAAACAAAGAAATAGTCATATATTATTTAGAAATAGGAATGCAAATACCTGAAGAAATGGCTGAAAGTTAAAAGTTGTTGCTCCTAGGAAGTGAATTTCAGGAATGAAGACTAGGATAGAGGACGGGCAGGGCAGTTTATGGTATACATCTTGTAGGACTAATGTCTTTTAAAATCACCTAAATCCATTTGACTTGTTTTTTTTTAAGAAGGCAAAGGCAAGTTTCGGCACACACTGCGGTAAGCCTATATGAATGAAAATTACCAGAAGGAGCTGCGGACTTTGGCAGACAGGAGGTCACAGTGACCTTGGAGCAGTTTCAGTGCTTGAGTGACAGGTGTGGACCAAACTGGAGTGAAGAATGAAAGAATAGAGAAATTATTTTATATACGGCAAAAGTGTAAATTCAAGGAGACCAGCTGACGGAGATTAAATGAGGGGATATACAGAACAGATATATAATCATCCTCAGTGAAATACAGAATATGAAAATCTGACTTAGAATAAAACAAGCTACATTGTACATGTACAGAAAATCCCCCACAGAACACAACAAAAAATATTTTTAAATTTCTTTAAATAATTAGCTCTTCTACAATGATTCATTTTACTGAAACAGATCATAAAGGCTTCTCTGCTGAATTGTGCCAATAGGGAAAAATAGCTATTGATATAATTTGTATCACTTCTTTATTTAAATAAAATACCTTCTCAGAATTCCTCTGTTTGAACTTAATATCCTTGATTTAAAGAGGGTTACTCTGGTCTGAGTCCTTTAAAAAAAGCACTAGGCTTTTAAAATAAGGTGAAAACTAATCAAAATAAAAGGTCAAATGTTCTTCTACCCCTAGATTTCTGCATTAACCTGATTCTCTATTTTAGTTCAAGTTCTCTTAGCTCCCCTTCCAGGTTCAAGTTTTTGTTCAAGCCTAGTCATGGGAGTAATGTTCTCATCTTTAAATTTGGTCATGGAATGTGTTACACTGCCCCGCTCAGGGAAATGCTGCTTGGTTTGGGCTCAGATAGTAACGTTGATTTTCTTTGGCAGAGAAGCTGATCGTTGAGGGGCATCTAACCAAAGTGGTAGAAGAAACAAAGCTTTCAAAAGGTTCGTTCCTCTGTGAGTTTTCTGTGGGATTTTTCTATGGGTTTTGACAGCTCTTTTGAATCAAGGTTAGTATACATTTGTAAGGTCATAATATTTCAGCTATTGCTCTATTTCTTACAGCTCAGGAAATGGCAATCCAGGAACAGTATCAGATGATAATACAGAATAGTCGGAGTTCTGTTTTAAGAAGGATTATCTTAATTGGAAAGTTTCTTTTAATGGGTATATACGTGTGGGTTTTTCTGAAATGTTTGAAATAGGTTCCTTTAGGTACTAAAGATTTGTTGCTCTCTCTCAGTCTCACTTCCAGCATTATTTTTAGCTTTGATCTCAAAATTTTAATCAACTACAATGTAAATCTTTTTGAAACAATAGGTGAAAAGTGCTTGTAGTTCTTCTGATTTGTGGTCATTCCTTATATTTAATATTTTCTTAATTTTTGGCATCTCAATTTGGTTTAAATAAAAGTGATTATGTAGAATCTTCTTACATTTTATAATGAATAGTCCTGTAATTGCCTGAAGTAGTTTATTCTGTTAAGTTTTTTCTGTTACAATTGTCAGACTTAGGCAAGAAAAGTGAGTTTTAAAACATCATATTGTCAAGTCACTTTTATTATGCAGAGGGAAATCAAGCAAATAAGTCTGGTGGACTATGCTTGTTATCATCATCTGACTTCCATCAGAACACACCAGTATAAAATTTAAAACTAAATTCACGGTCATTTTGGTCAATGAATGATAAGCTTGGAATGCTCAATTTCAGTACATTCTGTTCTATGAAAGTAACTGGATCCTCTTGGATTTTTACAATATTTAAAAGGATAGTGTTATTTCAAATATCTAGTGGCTTCCATTCTGAATTTTAAACACAGCAGATGCCATATTTGGGGAAAGAATGCATAGAAAATGCACCACCAACATTGTTCTGGCAACAGGCATTGAGTTTCAGAACAGTGAACTATTTTTAGTGCATGTGGCAACTTATTTCATCTTATTAAAGTACGATGAGAACAGATTTGAACATAGCTTTTACTTCACCACCTAAATTCCTACTCAGGTCAGTTGGTTGAATAGCCAATACTTTGAAGTGAAGTAGAGCCTTGGGAAAAGAATCAGTGCTGCTTTAGTTAAAGACAAGTATCTTGCTACCTAAGTGCTTCAGTTTAATGTGTTGTGAATTAGAATGTATTTGTTTGAAATTATGTGATGCCATTATTTTAAAAGGTGGGGTGCAATCTTACTGATTCCCTTTTGAAACATGGCCATAAAATAGGTATTGAAAGCTTTAAAGAACACGCTTTTTTATCTAGCACCACTTATGAGTGTTTATGTTAAGGAACAAACCAGGCAAATATGCAAGGCTATGGTACGTGTTTCAGTGTTGTTTTGAAAGCAAAAATAGGAAAATGGAAGTATCCAGTGATAGGGCTATTGAATAAATTGTAGCATGTAAGCCCATGCACATGAATAGAGTATGTTCTTTAGGAATGATAATACAGATACAAGTTTTCTATACCCAGAGATTTTTCTGTCAGCAGTCAACACTACTAACACTTCTCACAGTTAACATGCAGAGGTACACTAACCCTGGTAACAAATTAGATGGTGAAATAGTTGCATTTTAAATGCCTTATATCTGACTATAAGGTATTTTCTTCTGAGTTTGGCTGAATTGTCTTGTTTTTTAAGTGCTTTTACTGGTGATGTCTTTGGTGGAATTTTCTTCTCTGCATTGAAAATATCAGTTGCTAGAAATTGCCAGTTGCCAGCTGTTACAAGTTTTAGTACTTCTTTCAGATAGTTCACCTAAGCAAAATATAATCACGGGTTGCATATACTTTCTATTTAAGCCCTAACTCAACTTGCAGTCATATGTTTACTGTAGCTTTGGGGTAAAGTAGAAAGAAGAATGAGGAGGTAAAACAACCAGTTTCAACTCCACTTTCTACTGCTCACTAGCTATCTGCCCTCAAGCAACTTAGGTTAGCCCTTTAAACCTCAGTTTCCTCATTTGTAAAATGGGATCAGTAATATTTAACTTGGCAAGGTTTTGTGGGAATTTAATGAAATGTTGCTTATGAAGTAGGAAGCATTTCTGGTGTCCGGCAAATGTTCTTTCCCCTTTTGATCTTCAACCTTGCTTTCTCTTCCAAGTAATGTTTCTGGTGGTGGTCTGCGGCCAATATGTTGCTTTGCCCATTTGTCTTTATGTTTACTCGAAGGTACAATGGGAATATAGCAGTTAACAAGATAGACAAAAATCTGGACCCTTGTAGAGTTTTTATTCAAGTAAGATCTCAGTAGGAGATATGGTCCTAGCTTGAAGGCAATTTTACCTTCTTGACTAATACTCTAAATAAACAAAAGGTCTTCCTAAGCCAGAAGAATACTTTAGAAAATTTATTCTTCTTGGTTTACCTCAGTATCTTGATCATAAAACTGCCAAGAATGTTAACATCAGAAGAGAGTCATTTTTTTCTGTTTTCCATTCTGCTCTCCAGGGTGGTTCCTTTTCTATGTACATGTAGATTAGATGTGTTAGCCTGCCTTATTTGAGACAGTAACTTTGTAATCAAAACTAGAACATTCAGAGACCTCTGATTAGAGTACCCTGTGAATGCGCCAGAGGTCACAGATTAGATCCACATGGGCCTCTGTGGTCAGTGACTTCACTTCTAATCTAAGCTCCTGTCTCTCAGCAGCTGGCCTTTGACCAGAAAAGACGCTCAGAAAGAGGCAAAAAGCCTTCTTGTAATCCATCCCCCAACCCATTTCACAAATTAAGCCACAAATTCTAGGGGTGTTCTAAAGCAGAATAGCCATAACAAGTCATATTTTAATATTACATTAAATAATTGACAGTAATAGTTTTAGAGATGTTTCTGACTACTTTCAAAGTGGAAAATATCTCTTGGCCTTAGTTGATTATAAAACATTAGATATTCACAGTTTTTCAAACAATGGATGACTATGTGGAGTTATCAAGTAAGTGTCTGCCTTTTCCCTCCCTGCAAAAATGTATCTGCTATAGATCCTTCTTGACTTGAGTAAATATATACACCTAAAAATTCATAGCTAAATGTATATCAATTTTCAATCTACATGGGGTCATATTATACATACTGTTCTTTAACAGACTATTTTACTTAATAGCACTGAATATATCTTGAATTATTTTCCATTCCATAATGAACAATGCTACAATGAATATCCTTGTCTATATTATATTAGTCTATTTCCTTAGGAAAAGTACTAGAAGTGGATATGCACATTAAAATTTTTGATGCATTTTACCGCTATTAGTATAGCCAAGTGTCTAACATTATTAAAAATAATCATATGCTTAGTAAATTTATAATCTCACTAAGGAAATAAGGTATATATATATATGTATATGTATATACATATATATATACACACACAGAATGATACAAAATAGAACATGATTAATTGCAAAAACATTTGACACAGAGAAGATGCAATAAAAGGAGCAGTAGGCTTGAGAAATGAAGATGTCCTTAGAGGCAATGGGGCTTAAGCTATATTTTACAGGAAGAATAGCAATTCGAGCAGTGAATCACAGGCCATAATGAGCTGGCAAGCCTCAGCCCTATAAAGTGGCTGGCCTGAGTGAAGCAGAGCTCATGTGGGGATTAATGCAGGGCCCAGATTATAGCTAAACTATGGGATGTAAAGCTTGGCTGAGGCCTTGTAGAGAATGGGGAGATGGCATAGGATTGTGGTCAGAGAAATTAGCACCTTTGTAAATGCTAACCTAATGCTTACCCTAGTATACACAGATGTGCCATTACAGATGAGGCTCTAGGGCCTAATTAATTGCAATCATCTTTAATAAATTGTTGGGCTTACACTTAGGATTTTGGAGAACAATTTGTTGAAAACTAGGCCTAGGATGTCTTCATTGGACCAGGCAGCACACCACTTGGAAATAATTTTAAAACTTCTTTAAGTTTTTTTTCACTGTGGTTCAGGTATAATTGTATTTTCTTTAGATATAAAAGGTTGTGATTTTCTTGTTTGAAATGTTACTTTTATAACAAATAACTGATTTTTTTTTTTTTAGAGTTTTGTTAAGAGTATAATTGTTACTAAGGCAACCTAAGTAGTGTTTTTATATAACAGAGCCTTTTCCTTTCATGATCATCTACTGTCCACACTATCCTGGGAATTTTGCTGCATTTGTTGCTGTTCTCTGAATATGTTATTTAGCAAAGCTTGCTTCATTTTTGTTTCCAGTTGGCCAGTGGACAGCCTTGAACCAAAGCCCCAGCCCTCTCTGCACCGCAGGCATGATCCACATTATAAATTAATATGAGCTCCGTGTAATAACCAGCATTCCATTTTGGACTAGAGTGGTGAAGAAGTAAGAGACTCAGTGACCTTAGTTAATTTTAAAAGTATTTTGCCTACCAGTAGATTTAGCGCACGCATAGCCTGCAGCAGTTTTATGGATATAAGCTTTTTAATTGTAATGAGATTCTGTTTTTATTTTTTTCTTGGTAGAAAACCAGGCAAAAGCAAAGGAATCTGATTTATCAGATACTCTGAGTCCCAGCAAGGAAAAAAGCAGTGACGACACTACAGGTGAGTTTTGACCTAAACACATCTATAGATGTTACTGTGATTATCCAGCAGTTTGGGTATGCAGGCTACTGTGGGGGGAGATTTCCAAGTCTGTGTCTGGGGAAAGCACAGTGCTACCATTTATCAAATTACTTCCTTGAATCTTGGGTTTATTGTTTAAACTACTCTCAACTACCCAAATGCAGTAGCTACACAAATTTCAGTTGTTTCTTTTGATAGTGACAGCTTGCTGACTACTGTTTGTAACTGTCTTTCTTTTCCCCCCCTGCAGACGCCCAAATGGATGAGCAAGACCTAAATGAACCCCTTGCTAAAGTGTCCCTATTAAAAGGTACTTAAACCTGTTTTTAGGGCATTTTAAACCAGGGAATTAGATTCACCCTTTGCCACAAAGTCAATCCCATGTCTTATGTGAAGTTTTAAGTTTTAGTTAAAAGATTAAGATAGGTTCTTAAAGTAGCAGGAACTAAAATTTAAAAGGTTGCGTTTGGTGCCCCTGCTTCAAACAAAAATACTTAAATCGTAAAATAATTGGGATCAATCAAGTTTAATGAAGGGATTGCCAAGGGAAGCCCTGAGGATGACTGGCCCAGGCACCAGTTGCCAGCCTTTTTTTAAATGTGATCATAGTTCCCAGCCCTCTACCGGTCTGCACTTTGCCCTTCGGTGTTGGTGAAGTGTGCCTTTTTTCCTAGTGTCATCGTAATAAATCGAAGTTAATGTTTGCACAGTCCAGACATCTTATCTTAGAGCTTTTCTGATTCTTCTCAGAAATGCAGTAATGATAGTATAAAATGTTGTTACTGATACCAAAAAGATGTTAGAGCCCCTGGACTTTTGTGGAAGCATAGCGAACAAGAGGGGAGGTGGATGAGTAATGAGCACCCATCATGCAAAAGTCGGTGTCCTTAGGGTCTTTTTTACTCTAGAAATCTCTAGAAGTCTTTTTAGCAGTTGAGTTCAGATTGATTCCTAAGGAGCATTTGTGATTGTGTGGATTATGTTCAGGTGTTATTAGTGCTTTTGTGATTTTATGTTTCAGATTTTCTGTGTTAGATTTTGTTTTTGTCTCATTGCCTACCACCATGCCAAATGTTCAGTGAAACTCAGATATTTGGTGAGAGAGTTAATAATAGACCTCTTCTACCTAAGTTGCATCAAAGACCCCAGGAGCATTAGGAAACTTGCACACTCTGGCCAAGAAGCTGTGAGTCAAAGAGCTTTCGGTTCAATCCCAGCTCTGCCATTTCTTTGTAATCTGTCCTTGGGCAAACTGCTTAACTTAACTCCCCTATGCTTCAGTTTTTTCATTTGTCGGATTCAGCCAAATGACTTGTATGTTTATTGTGAGGATTGAATGAAATAATGCATGTAGATGACTTACCACAGTGCTGAGAATGTAACGTGTTAAGCGCCATAATGAAGACAAGATGCTGGTACCTAAGTGTCCATCAGTGGATGAATGAATAAAGAAGATGTGGTACATATACACAATGAAATATTACTCAGCCATAAAAAGAAAAATCCTCCCATTTGCAACAACATGGATGGATCTAGAGGGTATTATGCTCAGTGAAATAAGCCAGATGGAGAAAGATAAATACCATATGATTTCCCTTATTTGTGGAATATAAAAACAAAACAAAACAAAATGAACAAAACAACAGTAGATCATAGACACTGAGAGGTGACTGATGGTTACCATGGGGGAGGGTTATAGAGTGGGTGAGTGGCATAAAGGGGCACAAAAATTCTCACTCATAATACAAGTTGGTCATGGGATCCTAGTACAGCATGGAGCATAAAGTCAGTGATTCTATAATATCTTCCTATGATGACAGTAACTGTACTAGTGGGGGAGAGGATTTAATATGGGTAACTGTTGACCACTGTGTTGTATACTTGAAACCAATATAAGATTGTATATCAATGATACCTCAATTTAAAAAAAAAGATTGTGGGGTTTTAAGAAACATTTCCTACTTTATCTTTTAGGGACAAGCATTTGGTGGTGGTGGAACTTTTCCAATTATTTATTTCTTTGTTTCTTTACTTGGCCAGATATAAAGGGAAATGTTTTTTAAATCCTTGAGTACGAGGAGGCTCAGTCATATCTGTAAAAGTGCCCACAGTATAGGCTGGGAAATCAGATTCAAGAAAGAGGGAATAAAGGGGAACTTGTGAGAGAGAAAGAGACTGGAAAATACAAGGTGCGCATGGAAGGAGGTGGGTGTATGCATGCCGCTAGTATTGTTCGGGTGCCACTGGTAAAGATGGGGCAGAGTTTCCCTATCCTTGCTCTTAAGTTAAGGTGACAAAAACAAAAGCAGAACCCCAAAACCTTCCTTACGTTTCTACACCATTGCCAACTTTTGTTAATGAAGCAGTATCTTATCAACACCTCTTGAGAGATTTTGCAGCTTGATTTTAAGAACAGTTACGTCAGTCAATGATTAGAAAAATCAGCCATTAGAAGCAGGCATATTTTAGAAGACTATCCAAGAAATTGTCACCACAGCCCTAAATGAATGTTTTTCTTTTGTAAGAGTTATATACATTTTTTAAAATAATGTATTCACTGGCACTTACTAGACACATTTGGATTCTGCATGATTATATGTGGTCATGCTTAGTAATCTGTGTAATTAGGTTGAATAGGCTAACAGAGTTTTTCTCTTAGGTGAGAAGTATAAATTATTAGACCACAGTGTTAACCTTGAGAGCTGTAGAAAGTGGCCCCTGTATTTTCCTCATTGAAACCCCATGCCTGGCTTCTTGAACCACTAATTTCAAAATTTATTCTTTACCTCTTAAAAAACAGCCAATCTTTATTTAGAATTATAGTATGCTGCCCTTCATGTTAGTCATCTAGGATTAGGAAAATAAAGTAGGTTAAACATCATGAGATTTAAATAAAGGGATGATAGCAGTAGTTCCTTTTTCCTGAAATATTATGTTCAACTTACTTATGCCACTTTTGAAAGAGAAATACAGGCTTGAACCCAGATTTTATACGCTTGAAATAGTTTCCAAAAAAAATGTAAAAAAATAAACTGAAACTCGGTCCAAGTCATATCTAATGCAAGTTTGCTCTATTTCAGGAACTATGCCAGGGACTCCAGTGGTTTCAAAGTTAATAAAACTGTCCTTGGGGCTTGAGGGGTTTGAGTCAAATTGGTGATGAGAGGCATGGATGATAAGCTGTTTTGTGGTAATTGTTGCCATTAGGAGTCAAAGAAAGCAGGAAAGATGTCCAGATTTTTTATTGGTTTCCTTTTACTCATCTTGGAAGATGGGAAGGAAAGGCAGTTGGTTGGTTGGAGATCCTGAAAACATGTCATACCCCTCAGGATGTATTCAGTGACAAAAAACTGAACCTGAATCTGGGCAAGATTCTAGATCCAACTGCCAACTGTCAGGATACATAAACAACTAGGGACATAGTCTACATGATGTTCTGGGGACACACAACAAAATCTAGAATATGGAAAATTCTGTCAAACATACAACCCAGTTTCTTCATGTCAATTACATGGTTGGTGGGAAAAAAGGATGGAGGATCCTTTAAGAGAGATTTAAGAAATGTGTCAGCTAAATGGATTGCATGAACCTTATTTGGGTCTCAGTCACACGGTCCAACTATAAAAATTTGAGACAAGTGTTAATACTGACTGGATACTTAATAGTAGGGAGATTTGGTATTCTTTATCTTCAATGTGGTAATAGTATTACACTTATTTTTGTTTTTACTTTGTATCTTTTAGAGACTAAATATAGATAGAGGTAGGTATATGTTTTAAATGGGTAAGATTTTAAGAATAGAAGATTGAGATACCGTCTCAAAGGAAATATTAAAACCACAAGCTGGATCACGAAGTTTGTGCACATCCTCATCTGAGTGGTTTGTAAGTTGGGGTGGCTATTTTGGCAGAATTCGGTAGCTTGTAAGCACAGAAAGCTCTGCTCAGAGCTGTATTTTAGTGAGATCTGTTGGGTCAACCGGAGTAGGGAGAGACTGGAGCTAGGGCGGTCCCTTAGAGAGCGCAGGTCGGCACTGAGAACCTGAGCTAGGATGACTGCTGGAAATCCAGACTAAAGAACAAAATCCAGCCTGGGGCCCTGTTCTTCCCTGTGTCTGTCATCTCTCCTGTGCTCATCTCTTCTTGAATCCATAGGCTCAGAAATGTGAGAGAGGGAATCAGATGTGATTCCACCATTTGACCCCGAGTGACTCAAGGGATGGTGGTGGTATTAACACTGGAAGGAGAGGTGTCCTTGGGGGGGAAGTGATGGTTTGGGTTTGGCATGTGTTGAACAGGAAGGATGAGCACAGGTTCTGGTCTGCCTGGAGCCATTTATGCCTGCTGTCCCTCCGTAGTTATTAAAAGTGCCTCCTTTCACATTCACAGCTTTACATTGTCATCCTGGGAACCAGAGATGTAGTTGGAAGTGCAAGACAGAAACTAGGATTGTAAAGACACTTTCATTTATTCCTGAGACATTTAGTGACCCAGAGCCCGGGGAAGAGTGATGTGATAGTGAGTGTTTAACAGGCATGCTGGAGACTTTGGAGCACACTGCTGACTTTATAGCTAGGAGCCTAGACATGGTGCAGCAGCCAGGATGGGCTTCCCCAACGGGAGGCTAAAGCTAAGTGACAGTATGCCAGGAAGGGAGCCATGAATGTCTTTAAAATGGTGCTAACATTTGCAAATAGGGGTAATTGTACAAGTGGGAATAGCATCTACCAGGAGGGAAGTGTGCACGAACACAGGTGTGGGGGAGCACGGGCTGTGGTCAGGCGGCAGGCAGTAGCCACGGTTGGAACCGTCTGCAGAGGAGTGGACCACGGTGGCAGAGGGGTTTATAGAGATGGAAGAGAACAACTGGGAAGACAAAGGAGCCAACAAAGGATCCAGTTTTGTCAAGAAGAAGCCCTGCTGATCAGGACTAACAGCAGAGGGTGAGAGTCAGCTGCCAAAGTTAAATTCAGAGGCTGCTGCCAAAGTTCGATTCGTAGTCAAGCTGCACTGAGAACTATCTCACATGGCTGTACACGCACTCAAGTCGGAAAAATGGTCTTCCTCCACGGTGAAGGCTGTTCTCATAGGGCAGATCTTTCAGAGGGGTAGCGGTGATGATAGCAGAAGGAGGGCGCGCCCACCCGGGCAACTGTGCCAGCCAGATGGCTTCCACCGGTTGATGAGGTTAACAGACGTGTGGCCACATCAGCCTTCAACCAGCATGCCTGTGCAACACAGATGTGGGAAGACATGCTTTGATCTGGCCCTTTACCAAGTGGTTTTGAGTATCTCAACCACGCTTAGAGCAAAGGTCGGAGTTTAAGTCACATCTCTAGTCACTCTTCTGAAGAGAGAGTGACACCAAATTTAATTTAGAATATCCTGTACATTTTCTGTGCACCAGGGCTGGTTCATTTACTGGGTTCTTGTGTGCTGTGGATCTCTGTTCAGCCTCGGTCTGAAAAAAGCTAGCTCCTGGCCCTAACTGTGCACAGGGCTGCTCTAAAGATACACCATTTGTGTTGAGAGGACAAAGATTCTATTCATCTTTCCACCTCTTTATCATACTGCCTAAAAAACATACTTCCATCTGATTTGCACTTCTCAAAAAAATGGATTTGGCTCACTAAGGCTCTCATTTATCTTCATCTAAATACTTTCCACCAGTACTTGTCACAAGACTTCCCGAGATTGTGAGTAGATGATACAAAAGTCCTTTCCACTGACAGAAGGGAGCACGCCGTCATAAACCAAGAGTGCCTTTCCCCACCCACCATGTGAAATCCAGTAAGCCCCGATCAGCCTTATGCAGGAAGATGCGCCTAGTCGTCTTTGATTAAAAATTGGCACTTTGTTTTCTGAAAAGACGATCTGCACTATTTGATTAGTTTGAGTTTAGTCTTTGTGTTTGTTATGTTAAATTTAATCTGTAAAGATTTGTGGTCAGTGTCTTCCTCTTTCTGAATGCCTCCACCCTTACCAAGAGACAGTTAGAAGGAAGAATAGATAGGTTGGCTTTAACAGGTGAACCCAGAGTCAAAATTTTTGTGAGGGAAAAGTAGGATACAGTCTGTGAGTATGAAAATGTGTGTAACATCTAAGACCTGCTGTGATCATACCTTGAGAATTTCTTCTTAGCTCTTTTTTGATAAAGTTGTTAATGCCTGAGGTACTTGTAAACCAAACAGAATGCACTAGAAGATGTGTCCACCTGATGACGTAATTATTCCAGGCAGTGTTTGGTAGCAGAATGTTTTAATAAATGAAAGATGAGCAGAGCAACTGAAGGGGAGAGAGGTTAGGGGCACCTTTGAGATGTAATGCTGGATCTAATTTATCTCGATAAAACCACTTAGGTTACATGAGTTAATAATTCAGCAAATAGTTGTTGTGTGTGGTGTTGGCGCAGCAGCGATGACAAGGAGAGTGCCATGGGGTGTTCAGCCTGGTTTCTTTGAATAGTATTCCACAGCTGGGGAGTCATGCTAAAATGCTTTTTCTTGAAGAAAAGTCTGTTTCCATTTTCCTATTTCCAGTTAAGTTCCAAGTGAAATTTTTCTGACTTACCAAGAAATTTCAAAATTGATGAAGAATAGCATTGTGCCCATCTTACTGAATTTCAAGCCTTATCCAAGTTCTACATGACTGAAATACATAATTTAGTGTATGTTAACATATATTCTGTAGTACCATTGCCATAAATTACTAATACATACTTAACTGTACTTATGTTCTTTCTCCAGGGTAAAATGACTAAAATTTGCTTCTAAATTTTTTTTAACTCAGTTGTGCTATGTTGTTTAACTATGCACGTCTAAACCTGAAAGGGATTGCTAATCTTTGTAGAGATTGTAGCGTGATACTAACTCTTGCTTTTAAAATAAACATATTTTTGTCAGATGACTTGCAGGGTGCACAGTCAGAAATTGAGGCAAAACAAGAAATTCAGCATCTTCGCAAGGAATTGATTGAAGCCCAGGAGCTAGCTAGAGCAAGTAAACAAAAATGCTTTGAACTTCAAGGTGAGCTCAAGATTACTTTGATTCTTTAGGGGATGTGGAGGCAACTTGATACAACTGAATGGCCCCAGACTGGGAGTCCAGAGGCATGGTATCTTGTTCTATATCCACAACTTTATTAGCTGTGTGTTCTTGGGACAGTCACTTAACCTCCCTGAACTTATGTTTCAGATCAATAAAATAGGGAGAGTTACAGTTGCTTTAGTTCCTTCACATTGTTGACTGAAGGTCCAGAAAGACCTGCCCCGACAAAAGATCTTAATAGTGAATTACATAGTATGTACAACAAAAGGAAAAACCATAACGTGTATAAATCTCTAAGTTTTAGTTACATCTAATAATAGCTACTCGGCATTAAATAAGGAAATTTAGAGTCCCCGTGATTTCAGAGTGTAAAGGTATAGAATCTTCCAACATCCCAACCACCTCCTTTTCTAGTATGTCACTTGTCTGTAGAGACATAGGCCAGTGAGGTCTGTGCTGCTCCCTAGCATCCCCGTTTCCATATCACTCACGGGAACTGCCTAGTTGCAGTCACTCAGTCCCTTAGGGAGTTTGAGAGTGAGGAGGAAGTGCATGGCCCATGGTGTCCTCATGTCGCTGGGGCAGCCTGCCTCACCAGGAGGAGGATTCACACCCCTGGGAACTGGGAACTTCCTGTCGTTACTACTTACTCTTACATGGGCAGTAAACGTGAAGATTTTAAGTCTTCTTTTTTTAAATTTAACCCCAAAATGCTAATTGACAACTATCAAGATCAGTTCTCATGTAAAGAAGAGCACACATTTATCTCAGTGATACAAGATTTAGAAAATTCCGTGACTGATCAAATAGGTTTATTACTTACTACTGTTTAATGCTCCTAAAATCTTTGAGCTGTCTAACTGCTAATACTGATAATACTTACTGCCTAACTTTGGTCTCCTCCAGGAAGCTTTAGGAGAGAATTTCTTAGAAATTTCCAGCTGCTCAATTTTGAATGCTTTCATTCACTCACAAAATTAGATGTACTGTGCTTTGGTTTTAGCTCTTTTGGAAGAAGAAAGAAAAGCCTATCGAAATCAAGTTGAGGAATCCACCAAACAAATACAGGTTCTTCAAGGTATGGAGTACCCAAGGCCATCTGGGACTGTTATTGTTTGTTGATGTGTTTATTTGTAGTGATTCAAAAGGAATGAAAAATAACTGTGCAGAGGGTTCTGATTCCTGTGGCTTTAGTTCTGCCCTAGAATCTGAGACTATAACTGGGTTCCTGGTGGGCTTTTTTTTTTTTAAAGAAAATACAAGGGAAGATATCCCAGTACTCCACTAGTAGACACTTGGATTGGGAAGAGCAGGGGTGAAGGTAGGAATTTGGTAAGGCGTCCCCTTCTCTGCTATGTAGTGAGTCACTGCAGAGGGGGCCTTCAGACAGGAACCCAGTTTGAGCTGCTCTGTGCGTTAGCACTTTTAGCTTGGTGGCATTATTTCTAATGCTTGGACATACCTCACAATGAAAATTATACAGCACGTGGAACAGAATAATTCTGTTAGGCTCCAGTCCCTGCTCTGCTTTCATTGGCAGAGGCTGGTCCTCACACCACCTTTTAGCTGTCTCTCTGTGGGGGCTGTCCCAGCATCATTACAGAAAGGACCAGGAAGGCCCCTGCTTGCCAGGGGTGTACATCGAACCAGAGCCCAGAGCTCCTAGTACTGCGAAGCTGTAATTATGAGATGCCCAGGAGAGGTCCTTCTGTCCCTGACCTTGTAAAATTCCTAAAGCACAACTCATCTGCCTTCACTGGCAAAGACAGAACCAATGTTATTTCAAGATTTTGAGGGGAAGGGTGAGAAGAAATTGAATAGATAAGGAATATCAGTTCAGAAGAAACAGGGAGTCCTCGCTTAAGCCTGTGATATTTGCCCCAAAATATCCCAGAGAAATGCTAGTCTTTTTGATTTTCTTTTCTTGTTTTTGAGTAGGATATTTGAGTTATTTAAATTTTATTTATTATGGTAAACTTAGAATTTCTGAGATAGGTTCTATGTCTTTTTAAATTGAAAGCTCTTTAAACTCTTATTATAGGTCTTTAAACTTTTATTTAATGCCATTATCCATCAGTTTATATAAATCTGGTTTGAACCTATATTTCTGTCCTGTACTGTGCACGGACAGTGTTCCCTACAGGGTCTGTGACATGCTGCCTTATGTCTGACAGCTGTCTTACCCAGGCATCTTTAAGTGCCCCCTACTGCCAGCATGTGTATTTTAGGACTTTATCCACAATCTGTTGTCATGTTATCTCTGCTATTGTGTCTTTTCAGATTTTGAGCCTGTTATTCTCTCAGTGCCTCCTATAAATTTAAAAGGCCCAATATTTTCTTAATGTTCATTTATGGGGCAACCTCTGCCTTGATCCTCTTAATTAAATCCTCTTAATTATCTTAATTATTCTTCTTTTCTGCCTAATGAACTTTTTCTACCTATAATTTTCTTCTGTTATAGTAACCCAGACTAATTTTCTAGTTGTGAACCACATATGATTTTATACAGATTGTTTTCAGTTTGGGTCATGAGGGCATAAGACCAGATCTTTAAAAATATATACCTCTTAGAAATCTTCTGCATCCGTGGATGTCTTGCTGCCCTTGTCTAGCCTGGATTAATACTTAGTCCATAGGCACACACCTGATCATCTGATCATCTACATTTGCCTTCTTACAGCACTAAACTATGTTTTCTACCTTTATCTTGCATCTACCTACCACTTCAGCATTTTATTAAAAATAAAAATAATAATAATAATAG